TGAAGCAACAGCGTGGAAAAAAATTGTTGCTTCATTTGGTGAAAGAATGAGTGAAACGAAGGGAGAGTTCTTGTAACTCTTGACCCTGTTCACCTAACATCATTGTGAAGAAAGGATTATATATATATATATATATATATATATATATATATATATATATATATATATATATATATATATATATATATATATATATATTATATATATATATATATATATATATATATATATATATATATATATATATTGTCACACACAGGAAGCTGAAATGCGTTTAGTGTGGCAGCTCCCTCTCGCTTTGAGCTGCCGCCGCTGGCTAGCCCTCGTGGCGAACAGGGAAGCAACTTGCATAAGTCTTCCCTGCCAGTACACAGCCTCCTCACCATCAAGACTCCTGCTGTGCCTCCTCGTGGCAACACACGGTAACTGGGTGCCTAGTGGGTCTAGGCTAGACCAGCAGGGGATCTCGGAGTAGCAGTGGGCCCCAGAGGGATGACGCAAGGGCACACCGCCATGTGGACACGTTCTGGCGCCTACCAGCCATTGCCCCGCTACCTTGCAGATTAACCTTGGTAGGAATAAGGCTCTGGGGGTAAACCCTGAATGAAAAATCTGCTGTGGAGCCCTGCAACAGGCAGACATGCTTACAGAGCTCCAACATGACCCTAACGGCGGTATAGGTGTAAGAGGTGACCAACATGGGAACCCATCGACTACACCGGCGGACGAAGGCAATGCCTGATGGACAGGCTATTAAGGCGAAACCCAAAAAACTGGGCTATCGGCAGTCCATTACAACTCTCACTTTCCCCAGTCGTTGCAAGACATGCGCCACTGGATCAGGTAAAGGGAGAGCCAAGATGTGTGGTTGCAGCCTGCGCTCCTGCTTCACCACACAAATCAACTCATGCACAGCCATCATCCAGTTCATCATACTTCTCACCGTCATCAAAACCCCTATACCACCAGTGGCGATGGGGACAGGTAGAGATGACTGCCTGGAGTCTCTAGTCACAACTCTGCACATGGGCAGCACAAATAAAATGGTTGTTAATGCACTGGGATCTAGGCAGCAGTGCAATCCGGATCTGTCTGTGCAACTGAGCAGCCCTTTCGAGGAACCACTCTGCTCACCCCACATGGGGAGGGGGATGGAAAAGGTGCCCTAAACATAGCCTGCCTAAAAACCCAACCTGAATGGGCAACCGCACCCAGTAAGGTCATCCTTATACGGTCGAAAACACGGTCAAAATCACAGATCCAAACAAAAACAAACCATGCAACCTCTTATGGTCGCTGCATGGAATGTCAGGACTCTTCTGGATACTGGCACAAATGAGCATCCTAAAAGAAGAACAGCCCTTATGGCAAAACAGCTGGCAAGATAAAACATCGATATAGCAGCCATTAGTGAGTTCCGGCTCCCAGATGAGGACCAGCTCACAGAATGGGGCTCTGGCTACACCTTCTTCTGGTAGGGTAAGCCTGCTGCAGAGAGAAACCGCATTTATGGAGTTGGCTTGCCATCCGCCAACGCATCCTACACAGGCTAACTGAAATGCCTATTGGGATCAACGAGCGCCTCATGATGCTTCGAGGCCAACTGAATCACTCTCGTAATGCCTTTTTCATCAGTGCATACGCCCAACACTGGATGGAGAGGATGACATCAAGGAGTCCTCTTATGTCGACCTTGACAGAGTGCTAACCTCTATCCCCAGAGAAGACAAGGTTGTGCTCCTTGGTGACTTCAATGCCAGAGTTGGCAGAGATGCTGACATTAAGCAGGGAACCACAGGGAGAAATGGACTCGGCAAGTGTAATGCCAACGGCTTTCTCTTCCTCAGCAAGTGTGCTGCACACAACCTCACAATCACCAATACCTTGTTTCGGCAGGCAGACAAGTTCAAGGGTTCGTGGCAACACCCACGATCCAAACACTGGCATCTCATTGACTACATCATTGTCAGTGAAAGAGATCGCCGAGATGTTCTTATCGCCCGTGCCATGCGTGACTCAGACCACTGTGACACTGATCATCGACTTGTCAGAGCCAAGCTCTCACTTCACATCACCCCAAAATGGCGAAGGAAGCAAGCCTCCAGAAGAGGTTGTAATACTAAGCGTCTGGAGGATCCAGCGGTAGCACATGCTTTTAGAGAGTAGCTCGAGCATGGGTTTATAAACAACCCAACAGCAAACAACGCGAATCCCAGTGCAGAATGGGATACTCTAAACACTGTTATGACAAAAACCTGCAGAGACCCTCGGCCAGATCAAAAGAATACACCAGGACTGGTTTGATGAAAATAACCTGGCAATCAAAGTGGTCGTCTATTAAAAACGTGCTGTTTTTACTGACTGGCAGAACAACCCTCAGTCTCGGACCAAAGCTGATACCTAAACAGACTCATTCCAAAAAGGGGCGGAAAACTTCCTCCCAGAATTTCAATGTGGCTTTAGACTATCATGTGGCACCGCTGACATGATCTTTGCTGCCCGCCAGATACAGGAAAAGTGCAGAGAACAGCGTCGTGACCTGTACATGGCTTTCATCGACCTAACCAAGTCCTTCGACTCGGTCAACAGGGAAGCCCTCTGGTGGACGCTCAGCCGTTTCGGCTGCCCACCAAAAATTCATCGCCATTGTGAGGCAACTTCATGATGGCATGAACGGCAGTGTCCTGCACAACGGCACCCAGTCTGAGTTCTTCCCCATCCAAACAGGGGTTAAAGAAGGGTGTGTACTGGCACCAACTCTCTTTTCCATCCTCTTGGCTTTCTTCCTTACTCGTGCCAGTGCCAATTTAGCCGACGGGGTGGACATCGAGTACCGGGTGAAGGAGGTCTTTTCAACATAAGACGACTCCAGACAAGAACAAAGGTGTCAGCAGCTTCCATTAATAATAATAATAATAATAATAATAATAATAATATTAATAATAATAATTAACGGTTTATTGAAAGAGCATGGCAGCCGGAAGGCTGAAAATATACAGTTACATAACTGGGGAATGGGTCTCTTGATTTACAAATAATATACTAGTAACATAAGTGATACAAATATGATATATAATAACTAGGTGGGGAGAAGCTCAAACTACAGGGCATTTCAACATAGTAACAGAGCAAAAAGTAAGATTGACTGGGAGTGAATACACTGGTTGATTACAAGTTATTGATAATTTTTACAATGGTTGGGACTGGGCTTCAGTATGCTCACACTGAACAAGACCTACAGGAGATCCTAAACACCTGCGCAGATGCATATGCGCACTTCAGCCTTGAGGTGAATGTACGTAAGACTCAGATTCTCTTTCAACCAGCCCCAGGTTCAGAAAAACCTCCACCATCCATCCAGCTTAACGGTACTACCCTCTCGAATGTTACCCATTTGCGGTATCTCGGCTCCCACCTGTCCACCACCGCAGTAATGGATGAGGAGATTCAGCAACGGATCAGGTGTGCATCTCAAGCCATTGGCGGACTACGAAACCGTTTCTTCAGCTGTAGGGAGCTTAAATTATCCACAAAGCTGCATGTACATCGAGCAGTGGTCCTCTCCTCCATGTTCTATGGCAATGAGACATGGGGCAGATACAGGAGACACCTCAAGGCACTTGAAATCTTTCACCAACGTAGTCTACGTTCCATCCTCCGAGTTTGGTGGGAAGACAAGAGAACAAATACCAGTATTCTTGCTGACACCAACTGTAGGAGCATCGAGGCTACCATTATCCATGAACAACTATGCTGGACTGACCATAATACCCGCATGGATGACAGTATTCTGCCAAAGCAGCTACTTTACAGCCACCTAACTAATAGTAAACGTAACGCCGGCAGGTAATTGAAAAGGTATAAGGATAGTCTTAAGACATACCCGAAAAGTGCCAAATCGACCCCCTCACCTGGGAGTCGTTTACTCCACATCGTAACGCTTGGAGGAGCACCACACGAGAAGGTGTCAATACTTTCGAGTTAGCCCGACTGCAAACCAAGGCAGACAAGCGTCAACGCCGGGAAGACGCTGCCACCGCCCCTCCCGCACTAGATGTAGCCCTCCACATGTGCAACGAATGTGGACGACCCTATGGGTCTCGTATCGGCCTCTTTAGTCAACTCAAAACTCACCAACCTAGGTTGACATCCCTAATAACTCATATCATTGTATCATAGCTGGATGATCGTCATACTCGATTCCGAGTGACAGCAAAGTAGTAGTAGTTCTCTTGGTCGATAATGTACCCCAAGTGGGGCTTTGAGGCTCTCAACTGTCTGTACCAACACACTCAGGTGTAAGGTGTACAGGCGGTTGCCACAACAGCTTGTGCTTAAAGCGTGTATCTGCCACACCAAGATGAGGGGAGGTGGGCGGGTTCTTTGTGAAACTCCAGAATCAAAGATGGCTCGCTCACTTTTACAGCCCTTATCCACACTGTTTACCACAGCAGCTGGGACATCAGGGGATGGCAAGCGAGACACGAAGCTAATGTCCATAGGGACATTGGTGGGAAGGTGTATAGCAAGTAAATTAATCAGCCCCTTCCCCCCAGGTTAACACTTATTCTAAGCAAGTTCATTTTCGTTTTTGTAATGATTATTTTTGTTTATTATAATATAGGTTGTTTACCAACACTGCCAATTTTTGACGAAATATATTGAGTATCAAATGTGTTAAAGTATCACTTTTATTTTCAAATAATAATTACCTTTAAATAATCTCATTATCTTTGTCGGTGAATTTGAACATATAAATATATTAATGAAAAGAGAATAGGCAGGAATGTATGGTGACTTCTGAAGTATTACTTCAGCAGCCTACTGTACATCAGCGACTAGCGCTGTAGGTATTAATACTGGCCCATAAATAAACAGAAACAAAAATATTCTCCGGCATATAACCTACAGCCATAAAACACTAATAATAATACAAACTATAAACTAACAACCTGAAAAGAATCCAAAATACAAATAACGTAGTGCAGAAAACTACTTACAGCCAAATGCGTCCTTTCCATGGAAAAATACTGGCGTCGGGTATCCGTTGAGGCACGTTATCTGCATACACTTGGAGACCAGGTTAAGCACTACAGTTCCGTGAGACAGTCTTTGCCCATTGTAAATGCAGTGTTTGTTGCCTATGTATCAAGGAGACAAAGCAATATTATAACATTAACTGGTTAGACGATCAAATTGTTTCTAAATAAAAAAATCAGTACTAACACATTAACAAATTCACCTTTTAAGTTATCAGAGTAGTCAAGAAAATTGGAAAAAAACACAGTGAAGAGTTGATTTCTTTGTCATACATGTAAATATTGCATAAAGAAATCAGTACAAGTTAGAGTAACCTAAAAATTGTGCAATAAAAATTTCCTAAAATGAATGATAGGTGGATCGGGAACACTCGTCGTCAATTGTTGATTAATTATTAGAGATTTTTTTCTTCTGAGATCTCTGCACATGGTGGCCACTGTGACCCTCTTCTTATATATTTCCTCTGGGTTAACAATCATGTTCATTTATACCAGGAAAAGATTACAAAGGTGAAGGAAAGATGATTTTATATTTGAGACTATGGAAGTGGGTTTACCGTGTACAGCGTCCCTCTTGATCACCGTACATGACTTGTTCTTATTTCCTTTCACTGGATAAAACTAATTTATTCAATTAATATATAAATATTTACCGAGGATAACAAAAGGCCAGATTTCACCTTCCTGTTTCTATCTGAAATATAACAACATTTTCTTGTGTCATAAACTAGAGTTTGACATTTAACGCACCGTAGTAAGCTCACATTTCAAATTGGGTTCATTCACTAGTTATCGCTCACAAAGAATAATAGTAATTTTAACTGGTTGAAAAGTAAATGTCTGGTCACTGCTAACTATTTTCAGCTTGAAGACGGAGTTTCCCTCACTTCTTAAAGGAAGGTAATTTTAATAAATCTTGAAAGAGATGAGCGAGAATGACGAGTTAACGGTGATGGGTAAACAGAAGAAATGCACTCTGCCACGTTCGTTGAGTAATACGGTATATATAAATTGTAATAAAAGTTCAAAATCCTGCTATAATAGTCGAGATAAGTTTATTTCTCTAGAACCAGGGACACCATTTGCAATGACGTCACTAATTTCAAACTTATCGCTGCAGTCGAGGTATAATAGAGAGGGTGGCCTCTTCAGACACCAAATGCCACGTTCAGGTAAGTTTTAAGGGTGTTTATTATGGTCTAAGTCATGGACATTTCGTAAGTGAAGAAATGTGCCGTAAAGAGCAGCTCAAACATAGGTTGGATGGATATATGAGCGATAGGGGTTGGGTGTAAATGGGACTACCAGTATGGGCCAATAGACCCGCTGCAGTTTCCTCAATTCTTATGGTCTCTTGGACATAAAAAAACTTCCACGGTCACATCAGCTCAGCTGTTATGTACTCTCACCTGGTAGATTTTCTCTTTTTTTTCCAATGCATTTACAGAGTATATCAGTACTAGATGGAGATATGAGTCAATTTAGAAGTGATGACATTGTCTGGACTTTGTTTTGATAATGCCTGGTGCTAGGTGAACATGACAACATGGTGCTGTTATTGTTTTGATGACTCACTAATGAACCACTGGGATATATCATCATTAATATTAATTAAGGGATAAAACTTTACTATAACTACCATAAGTATTTGGATGTTTATATTCGAGACAGACTTTATTGGGTAAATTTTAAGTTTTGGTCATCCCAGTACTTAGACATGCAGACTATGTTTTTTCTGGTGGTTAGCGATGTGTTATGAACGATTAAGATCTTCATTTCTATCGTAAATCACTTGTTTTGAGTTACTACCGCCCCCCCCCCCCTTACCGATGTATGTTAAGCTGACCTTATAACTCATCACACCCTAACCTAACCTAACCTAACCTATGATCTGTGTTTTCTTATGCAATCGAAAAATGTTTTGTGGCAGAAATCCTGTAGAGATAATGTGTCATATATTTTTTAATACTTAATCCCATAGTTAGAATCTTAAAGTTTCCCAGATGACCAAAACCAAAATAATATCAATATTGTTTGGAATGTTCATACTATGAATTTGTTGTATGGGCAGCTAATATATAAAGAATTAGTTTACGTGCTTAGTAATATTTATATATTCAAAATAGTATTACTGTGATGCACAATAAAGCACAATTAATTATCTAATAATATATATTTACTGAGCCGATCAGCCGAGAAGGTTGGACAACTAAAGCTGGCTGCCTCAAGGTGGGAAGCTCACCCCCCAACCAGTGACGTCACAACCAATCACAGAGCTTTTCGCAGTCACGTGGCCTTTTAGCAACTTTAACCCTTATTTTTTACACTTTTTGGCCCAATCTATTTACTAATATCATTGCCATAGTAAATTTAAGCGTTTTCCTAATCCATTGAACTGCCATCTTTCTTACGAAAAATTCCGACCGTTAACGTGTCCATTTTTGTATCAAATATTCTAAGCAGCAATGTGTGCACTGTACTTAGTACAGCATATATATATATATATATATATATATATATATATATATATATATATATATATATATATATATATATATATATATATTTATTTATTTATTTATATATACGCTATCATAAGACTGATAGCAGCGGAACTGCACTGGGATTTACGTTCCAGGGTAGCGGCCATACCCATTAAATCTTCATTGATTATTATTAACATTAATAATATATGGCCCCAAATACTTTTATCATTTCAGTCTGTCTCCCGACCTTAAATGTTTCCCATCCCTGATTTAAACGATTAGAAATTATTTAGTGACGCCTTGTAGTGAACGAAAAGGCCAGCTTTACGACTATAATACGAACGATAAAGAAATACTGTATGGCAACTCCCTTGAACAGTAGTAGGGAGATAAAAGCTGGCGGGCTAGTTGCACAAGTTAACACCGAGAGTTCTACCTCTCATATTTTTTAGTTGTTGTTGGCTTAGTATAACAGTAACCTTGTTACACGTTTAAAGTCCTTAGTTGTTAAAGCGCAATAATAACATTATAATATCAACAATTGCGCAGGATGAGGAAAACATTTGCCACATGTGCGCGCTCAAAAGAAGGATCTACTGGTATCTACCCCAGCCTGACGCAAGTCTGCATGTGTCCTGTCTCTCAGTTGTTTGAAGTAGTCCTTTACGAGACGCAGGTTGCTGCTGTTGGTCATTACAAACGGGTTAAATACTAATAATTTAACACGAATTTAGAGGGATCAAGCAGAAAGTTTGGGGTACAGCTGCCGAGTGGAAACAAAGTGTTGGAGGCACCCCACCTGTCCACTTACTGTAATGTGGAAGGGGATACCTGACTTTACGATTGGGGAAGTGAAGGTGGTCGATCGCAATGCCAAACACATTGCCTCAGGTGACAGCTATTTCTTAATTACCATGTTTTTAGTGTTCTTGCAATTTTATTGGTGGTCACAAGTCTGGCACACTTTTAATTTGTGCCTATGACTCAGTTTACCTGAAGTAAAGTGCTGCGCTTTTCAAACAGGAATCAAACTCCACTCAAGGCTCTTCTCAACAACTGTCAGTGATAGTCGTCGCAAACAATCTTAACCAACAACGGGTGAAAAACAGTCACCTACGACCAGCTTAGGCAGTTAAATGTAAGTAATCACTATAAATATGTGTACGCTACATGAAACATTGAGAACAGGGCAATGAATGGTAAGACTCGGTAACACATGTCCAATGAAGGTCACCAGAACAACTCTTAGTTAATTAATTAAATTTATTTCACTTGCTTTATTTTGTGTCAGTTGCTTGCTGAAGTAGTTTAAGGTTACACACATAAGAAAAAATGTATGTATGTATGTACTGTCTGTATGTATGTACAGTATGTATGTATGTATGTATGTATGTATGTATGTATGTATGTATGTGTGTGTGTGTGTGTGTGTGTGTGTGTGTGTGTGTGTGTGTGTGTGTGTGTGGACAATCACCAGTTCAATTTTAAGATAACTATCATATTTATTTTTTTGACTTATTGCTACAACATAATGGAAATGAATTTGTATACAATAACATATACTCAGTTTCATTAAAGACGCCGTTTAAGCTCATACAATAGGCAAAACTATAATTAACATAGTTAAGGTAAGGTTTGGTATACGAATTAGTTTCTATTACGCTGTAGTTGTCAAAACAAAGTTATTTTTATTTGTCAAAAACTTAAGTTGCTTTTTAAACCTTAATCGACGGTATTCCCGATTTAGCACAACAAACACACACACAGACACACACACACACACACACACACACACACACACACACACACACACATAAGAACATAAGAATGGAGCGGGCCTATTGACCCATACTGGGCAGTCCCATTTACACCCAACCCCTATAGCTCATATATCCACCCACTCTATGCTTGAAGCTACCCATCGTATTCGAGTCAATAATGATGTTTGGTAACTCTTTCCTTTCATCCACAACTCTATTCCCAATCAGTGTTTGCCTATCTCTCGCCTAAATCTAAATTTGTCTAATTTAAAACCATTGTTATGAGTTCGCTCCTGGTTGGATAGTTTGAGTGCCTTTGCTATGTCCCCTTTGCTTAGCCCTGACCTCCACTTATACACCTCTATCAGGTCGCCCCTGACTATGTCTCTTGAGGGAGTGCAAATTCAGATGCTTTAACCTGTCTCTGTACTCAAGGTTCCTAATGCCCGGGATTAGTCTTGTCATTCTCCTCTGAATTCTTTCTACTGATTCTATATCCATTCTGTAATACGGTGACCAGAAATGAACTGCGTAATCCAAGTGAGGTCTCACAAGCGCAAGATAAAGTTTCAGGATGACCTCGCTAGTCTTGTAACTAACACTCCTTTGTATGAACCCAAGTACTTTATTAGCCTTGTTTCGAGCAAATACACATTGTTTACTTGGCTTAAGATTCCTACTTATCATTACTCCTAAATCTTTCTCACATTCGGATTTCTCTATAACATCGTTGTTCATCTAATATCTGGTTTCTCTGTTTACATCTCCTAGACTGAGTACTTTACATTCGTCCACATTGAATTTCATCTGCCATTTTTCAGACCATTCGGAAATGTTGCTGTCTACGCCGATATCTATGTCGTTTATGTATATAATAAAAAATAATGGTGCAAGTACTGAGCCTTGGGGAACTCCACTAGTGACGCTACTCCAATGGGATTTAGTGCCGTTAATGTTCACTTGCTGTTTTCTGTCCTGTAATCACGCCCTAATCCATTTTAGTATATCTCCTCCAATGCCGTGAGCCTCCACTTTTCTTATTAGTCTTTCGTCGAGGACTCTGTCGAAGGCTTTACTAAAGTCAGGATATACCACATCATAGTCGTGCCCCTCGTCCACTGATTCGAAAACAGCTGAAAAGAATGTCAATAGATTAGTTAGACACGAACGCCCGCTTGTGAAGCCATGCAGGGTATCATTGATCAACTTGTGCTTTTCCAGGTGATTTCGAATAGAGTTTGATTGGTCGGTAGTTAGAGGATAGTGATCTATCTCCCTTCTTGAAAATCTGTATTACATTCGCTATCCTCCAGGATTCTGGTACTACACCTGTTTTTAAGGACATGTTAAACAACTTTGCTAAGGGCATACTAAGCTTTTCCTTACATTTCTATAATATACTGGCAAATATCTCATCGGGACCAGGTGACTTATTAGGCTTTAACTTGTCTATTTGCTTACTAACGTCATTACTAGTCACTATTATCTCGCTTAATCCATTTCTTCACTATCTCTGTATATAGTCGGTGCCTCGGGTATCATGTTCAAATTTTCGGTTGTGATAACTGTTGAAAAATATTTATTGAGATTACTGCTCATTTCTCCGTCGTTATTAGTTAGCTCGCCGGTATCTGACTGTATTGGTCCAATCTTTTCTCGTGTTTTAGTTTGATACATTTGAAAGAATCCCTTTGGGTTTGACTTCGCCTCCCTTGCTACCTTCAGTTCATTATTCCTCTTTTCTTTTCTTGTCTCGGTCTTAACCCTACCGGTCAATACCTTATAATAATCTCGGAGGTAAACTTCACCACGATTTATTCTCCTACCTATAGCCTTCCTTTGTCCAAAAATATTCTTTAAATAATTGTTTATCCATTTAGGGTCATTTTTTTTATTTATTTATTTATTGGGCTCTCCCCTACATCCTTGTGTAAGGTGAAGCGCAGAAGCGTTTACAGCGCCCAACAGGGAGGCATGCTAAGTTCATGCTTGCCTTTATGTCTCATGAGTTGAGGACGTAGAAGCCTGAAGATTCAATGGTTTATGTCATCAAGTTATTGGAAACTCCAACAACTTGTTCCTGTATACGAATTCACATCTTTCGATTTACACCAGGTGCCTACTTTACTGCTAGGTGAACAGGGACTAATGGGGGCTAGGAAGTATGTCCAAACAACTTCCACCGGCCCGGGAATCGAACCCGTGACATCTCTCTTGCGAAGGCAAGAGTGGTACCACTCTACCACCAGCACCCCCAGGGTCATTATTGTTTGATATGAGTTTTCTGAATGGTATGTTCTGTCTTTGTGCATTAAGTAACTCATTATTTAAATTGTTGTGGAACTCGTCAACCTCAGATCTCGTTATCAGGTCATCCTCTACCGTCATATTTTGTGAGGATATCGTTGTCAGTTCTCCAGGTAAAGTGAGGTCGCCCTCTGTGGGTACATTGTGTGAGGTTACCTCACGTGAGGTCAGGTAATCCATCCCCAAACGTGATACCCCTTCTCTTAGCTGCCTTTTCAACCTATCAAAGTTTGCCTTTCTGAAATATGGGACTTTAATGGAATTTTCCTTGCGTCAGCCATTAAATTCTAATTGAAATCTTATTTCTTTGTGATTGCTGTTGGCAAGTTCGTTCCCTATCTCGACATTAAGAATGAGGTTTTCTCTGTTTGGCAGAACTAAATCGAGTATATTATTACCCCGGGTGGGTTCGGTTATATGTTGACTTAGGAAACAGTCCTGGACTATTTCAAGAAAATCCTCTGATTCTGAGTTACCCGTAAGGTCAGTCCAATCTATTTGGCTAAAGTTAAAGTTGCCTTCTATACAGACTTTGCTATGTATGGGAGCCCTGCGCATTTCATCCCAAATAAGTCGCTCATTAACTCTAGATTAGGGGTCTATATTTTACTCCTGCGATTATTTTTTCTCTACCATCGAGGAATTATATCAAATTGCTTCTATAGTAAGTTCAGATTTTATTTCCTTATTTATTTCACACTTCAGATTGCTACTACGCCTCCTTTCCTAATCTGCTTATCGGTATAGAATAATCTGTAACCTGCAATTTGGTATTCGACAGGTAACTCACATGAGTCTAGGTTTATCCATGTTTCAGTGAATGCTATTATATCGATTTTTTCTGTACATACCAACGCCCTGATTTCATCCATTTTGTTTCTCATACTCCTACTGTTTGTGTTGTAGACATTTAAGTTAGTCGTGTTCCGAGTCCTCTCTTTGTCGAGTTTAAGTTTTAACTCCCTGCCTAATTTAGTTTTGTCATCACTCCTAGCACTATTTCCCTATAACCTTTCACTTTGTTTACCCACTTCCACTGCAGTCTCCTCCACCTCCGTGCCCATATGTTCCCCTAGCAGTTTAAAGACTTTGACATCTTTTGAACTGCCCTCACGAGAAAGCCAGCCAGGGTTGCTACACCATCCCTAGCATAAAGGTCCCCTCTGCCGAAAAATTTGCCTCAGTTGTCAATGAATGGGACTGATACTGACTGGCAATATCTGTCAAGACTGCCGTTGACACCAACTGCCCTTGACAACCATTCATTGCCAACTCTCCTTCTAGGCAGGACACCACATATGATAGGGATCCCTCCCTTCAACCTAATACGTTCTATGCTGTCTTGAACTTATCAAGAAGCTCCTTACTCCTACACCGGCCAACATCATTGACTCCTTCACTGAGGCAGATAATGGGTTTGTTCCCATTACCAGACAAGATATTGTCCATCCTGTCAACTATATCCCTCACCCCAGCTCCTGGCAAACACACCCTCATCCTATTTTTATTTTTACCACAAAAAGCTCTGTCCAGTTACCTTACCTGGGAATCGCCAACAATTAAGGTTTTCGTACCTTCCCTCTCAGCCCTGTCCCTGACTATGTTAACGTCCAATTCGTCTATCGAAGGACTGAAAGAGTTTGTACACCTAATACCTGACCATTGTGGACTTGATCTCACCCTCCTCTGTATATATATATACCTTGTTATGTATTTCTCCTTAGTCTGTACTCACCCCTGAAGATGTGAATTACACGAAAGCGCTTGGGAACTTTGTGTTTTCTTCTTTCCGTGTGGTTATCAGCATATACCTGGATCACGCGCACCTATAGTGATTTACTTGCATATATATATATATATATATATTATATATATATATATATATATATATATATATATATATATATATATATATATATATATATATATATATATATATATATATATATATAGTGTGGGGATTAGTGGATGTCATCATTATGACCTGACCTCACGATATTTAAGTCTGTCCAAAATCCAGTTGCCTCTGAAGATGTCTTGAATAAAGACGAAAGCTAAGGTACTCGTTGTTTCCATTTTCCCGTGTGATTTTATCAAGATTTATCTTATCCACGTTTTCATTGTGGATTTACATGATATATATATATATATATATATATATATATATATATATATATATCACAAGGAGAGGGAGGAAGATTTTTTGTTTTATATTCATTGTTCATTATAATACCGTATCAAATTTATGTACTGTACTTCACCACGAGGAGATGTGGAGGCCAAATGGATACAGCCACTTCTGCGCTAAGGGTTGCTGGTTCGTGTCCCGGGAAACCCAAGTTCACCCAAATGGAAATGGTCACCTCACTTTACAGTTTGCAAAGTAAAATTATGTTGAGTGCAGTGCCGATCTAAATGAATCCTTGCATATCGAATGCATAAATTAAAATGTGTTGTATCCGCACTCCCCGAAAAGGTCGTCAGGTCTACAAGACGCAGTTTTACTCTTTTCACTTTTCAGGTTGATATTACAGTCAAGGACAAAAGTTCCGGGTCTTTTCCGTTTGGGGGTTAGCAGCTGATTTTAATGAAAATCGGTACACTAGTACATTTTTTTTACGCTGATTCCAAAAATAACTTTCAATTTTTTGTTGAAATAAAAACACTAAAGCTACAGCATATTTAAGTTGTTTTTATAAGCAGATACCTAACCTAACACAACCATTGTAAGTATCCGTCTGAAA